ACACACGGGGTAGGAACATATATCCAAAGCTTCAGCCTCCCAGCTTTCCTGGTTGCTGAGATGAAATTGGGTGTACATCAAAAACGCATAAAAAATGAGTTTTTCTTTGACCTAAAAGACAGACTCGACAAAAGCAAGTATTTCATGTGAAAATCCAAGGGCCAAACTTTTTAAGTGCACAGCCCAAAAAGAAAATATAACTGAGAGCTTCGCCTCGCATTCAATTAAAATATACTGAGGAGCCCATGTAAAACTGAGTAAAAACGGACAAAGTTGCACTACTCACCCAAAGACCAAAAAATTCTGCTAATGTAAATCTTTTTGCGAAAGTGCGTTAAAGAACATCAAATTTCAGACACCCAGACAGCGAGAATAGATAAAAGTAGACAGCTTGTTATTTCCTTAAAATGCACAAAATACCATCTTCCCTGTTTTTCTTTCGTTAGATAAGGCCATTTGCAACATGTTACCTTGGAAAGGCAGTAGTGGTGGAGGTTCCCATGTAACGCGTGCAGAACTGACTGCGGTCATAAGGCTTATTTTGCTGGGTGGAAGAATTGTCAGTGGCTTCGGGCGATTGCGCGAAAAGACGAAATCAACAACTCGACCAGCGTACAAATAACGATTCAAATGTATCTTCTAAAAAATTTAAAGCAATGAAACTGAATATCGAATTAGTAGAAAGCATACAAGCGAACGAAAATACAGCTGAGTCTAGAACCTGTAACCTTTTCCGCCGTCTTCTAATCCCAGATCCGATCTTGAACGCAACGGCGATTAGAGGTGCCCCTTTGAAAAAGAAAGGCAATGGCCTTACTCAAGTACAAGGGGAGGCTTACCAAAAAACTGAGCCCACAAAAGGAGATTTAGCCAAGGGAAAGCAAAGTTCTTTACATTTAGAACAAATTAAGTTATAGAGTAACAAAAAATAAAACTGCATCAAAAAGTAACTCTACAGCACCAGAAATGTTAAAAAGCACCATCTTCCAACAGGCAGGATTCAGAAATACGAAGAAGCGCATTTACGGTAGGACGAGTGGATTTTGCATCGGGCAGTGGTTAACGACGCCAAAACCAACATGCACTTCCTCTTGTCTGCCGACAGCCGACTGCGTATTAAAGAGTCAGCTCAATAACTTGTGAGATTCACACTGACATTTTGGACGACTCATGCACATTATACTACATTCGTCATTTCTCCAAGTCCAAATATTTTTTTCTTCAGTATATTAATACAGAATGCAATACGAAGGAGCGAACGTGCATCTATTGCCCCTTTTCGAAAGTCCAGGTTACGGTGCCAGTAGCAGCAGTGTGTTAATACCCAAAGTGAAAATGTATGAATATGCACATTGTTCTGAGTGTCGTGTTCTTCGCTGTACAAGCAAGTATCCCAGGAATGTTTGTCTCCGCAGCTTGTTGATATCCAAAACATCCGCCTGCCGAGAAAATGGGCCTTCTTGATGCTGTGATATAAATCGTTTACGTCAGTATTCAGCCGAAGATCGCTGACTGTTTGATTAACGATATTCATTGCCAAAACAGACCCGTTTGGCGTCAACAAAATTAATCTCGAATTCACAGGATCAGCTTCAACTGATGTCGCTAAGCTTGGGATTTTTTCAGCTGTCGAAAATGAAAGATTGTGAGACGCATTGAGAGAAAAGAGCGGAATTGAGAAAACTTCACCACCGTTCAAAATACAATAAATATGCCTGCAAGAATGGCTATGAAGCACATCAAAAAGATTTGAATAATGCATTTTGTAACCTTCCACTGACAAACTAAATGCATTCTGCAACCCTTCTCTGAAAGGCTACATGTCACTAAATATTTAGTCGCCTCTCTGCTCAAAATAAGTCAAAATAACAGGAAGGTACAATGGCTTTACCTATCTGTCGACGAACTAATTTCCCGTTTGGTCTCGTGCGGCTAACGAACAAAGATAGAAATAAAGAGGGAATGCGAAGTCTGCCTTCAAAATGCAAACTCTCTGATTTATGAATTCTGAAATTTAGCTGGATTTGGACCGGAAGCAAAGAACAAGCGGACTAAAAGTTGGTTTCAAATTTTCAGTCATCGTATGCGACCCAAAACTTCCAGCTCAAAATACCAATTTTGAGATAATTTTGCTTTTGGGTCTATGGGATATGACCGAATTGGAAAATAAAGTCAAAAGTCAGCACGTCAGCAACTTGAAAGTCGACTTCAGCTTCGAGGCCACATACACATCTCAACTTCCCAGCTTTTTAGTTTTTGAATTGAAATTTAAGGCCGAACAAAAAAGTGAACACACGCACAGAGCGAGCTCCCTATTCATATATTAGTACATTTGGAGCATCTTAGCACAGCACAATAACGCACAGAGATATTGGGAAAAAACAAAGCCTCACCCATTCCAAGGGTCAACCGAAATATATTCGATGAAATCGATAGTATTTGTCGTCAGCACAATCGAGTTTTGGCAGCCAGCTAAATCACATCTGCAACACATCGTTTTCCAAACCCTGGTAACAACGGACACCAGAATTTCAGATGCGATCTTCCGTTTTTGCATGAATCTCTCCAGTAGAAGCGGTCGCTCACAGCATGGGGTGTAACTGAGATACTGCAGCTTGCACATTTGGTGCGCCTGTACGCAGGGACCACACCTAGACCAAAGCTCATCTTACACTTGATGGCCCGCACTTGAACACCAGATATCCTAAGTAAGCCTTCCAAACGAAATTTTCACTCGCACGCACACGGAACCCAAGAGGCTTTAAAGCTTTAAAATTTGAAATATTTCAGTCACACATGAGCACTGATACCTTCGTAAAGTTTCATCTCCCTAGCATGCCTAGTTGGCGAAATCACCTTTTGCTATGTCGAAATGTTTTACGCGTCCAAATGCGCAACACAGGTACAAGCCAAAGCTCATTTTACGTCTACTTGCCCGGGTATGAAGAAGCAAATATCTGTGCAAAGTTAAGGTGCCCTAATCACCTAAGTTCACAAGTCGGGCGATTTGTTAACGATTTTCTTAATTATATGATTTAGGGGGAAATTAAAATTAAATTTGAAATCTTCATCTTACATAAAGAGATACAGCACTGTAAAATTTCCATTTCCTATCTTGTTATGCGTTTTTATGCGTTTTTTGCAGCTATGCAATGCAAAAACGCATATTGACAAGGGGTCGTCCGTGTGTCTGTGTGTGCATCTGTCCCGAATTTTCATCTCAAGACCTATAAAAGTTGCAGGGTTGAAACTTTGGGAACTTAATCTACATGCACGTGCAGGCCCCAATCCCCAAAATGGGCGCCATTACCCGCGTGGTACCCGCGTACGGACCCGCTTAATTTTTTTCTCGTAAGTTCATAACTCGGGGATCTGAGAAGCTAGAAAGCTGAAATCCTAGGGTGATGTTCCCCATGCAAGTAGGTGTTAATGCACTGAAACCCATCCCTTGGGCAAGCGTGGTACCCGCGTAGGGGCCCGCCAAAATTTTTCTCCGATAAGTTCATAACTCAGGGATCTAAAAAGCTAGAAAGCTGAAATCTTAGGGGGATGTTCCCCGTCCTAGTACGTATTAATGAGCTCAAACCCAGCCCCCGAGTAAACGTGGTACCCGCGTATGGACCCGCCAATGTTTTTTACGAGTAAGTTCATAACTCGAGGATCTGAGAAAGTAGAAAACTGAAATCTTACAGCAATGTTCCCCATCCAAGTGGGTATTGATGAGCTCAAATCCAGCCCCCGGGTAAGCGTGGCACCTACGTACGGGCCCGTGAAAGTTCCTTTCGGGTAAGTTGCTAACCCGGGAACGTGAGAAGCTAGAAGACTGGAATTTTGAAGGGACGTTTCCTGACAGTCCTGGCCAAGTGGCCGGAAATTCTTCTAGCTAGAAGCATCTGCCGAAAAAACCAGTACCGTTAGCGATAAAAATGTGCGGGGAGCTATGCAAAAACGCATCTTCGCACGGGCCCGTGCGTTGGCCAATTTTTGCATATATGAAAATGCAAAAACGCATGCTGTGGCGACCCCGATGCGTGTGTATGTGTGTGTTTGTCCATGTGTTTCAACTCGGCAACCACGCAAGCTCCGGCGCCGAAATTCTATCAGCGGGTTTCCCGGCCAAGTGTCACCTCAAGACCGAGGTACCAACCCCTATGCACGTCTGGCCCCTGCGTACGACCACATGAAAGTTTTTGCGAAAAATCGCTAACTCGGGGACTAGGAAAACTGGGAAAGCTGAAACTTTGAGGAATGTAGAACTCAAAGATTTCACATTCAGCCCCCACGTTTGTGTAGTTCTCACGCATAGCCCTGTGAAAGTTTTTGGCTAGAAAGCCACTAGCTTGGAAGCCAGAAAACTGGTAAGCTGAAATTTACCCTCTTTAAATTGCACATTGTGCACAACTTCCCGAACTTCAAGGCCGGTATGTCACAAATTCTAGCTACTAGCGATCTAACTACAGCACGAAATACTGCAAAAAAGCATGATCACACGGGCCGCCGGTGGACGTCGTCAAAGATTTGATGCTTGAAATCGCTTTTCTACCAGAATATTTACACGTTTTCTTTTAGGCATCCGTACATAAGATCCAGGCGCACGTGAATGATAATATTAAAATACGACGATCGCACACGGGGTGGGGATATGATCCAAAAGTTTCAGCTTGCTAACCTTTCTGATTTCTGAACTGAAAGTGGGGACAGTATGCGAATACATACACAAACACAAAACACACACATAGGAAACCCTTGATAATGTGCGTTTTTATGCGTTTTTTACAGCAATGCAATGCGAAAAACGCATGTTAACGAGAGGTTGTCTGTGTGTGTTAGTGTGTGTGTCTGTGAGTGCGCTGCGCGTCTGTACCGATTTTTCATCTCGAGACCCACAAATGCTACGGGGCTGAAACTTTGGGGACTTAATCTGCATACACTTACGGGCCCTATCCCGAAAATGGGCAGTCTTTTCCGCGTGGTACCCACGCAAGAACCAGCCAGAGTTTTTTACGGCTAAGCTGCTAATTCGCGAACCAGAAAAGCTAGAGAGCTGAAATTTTATGGGAATGTTCCTCGTCCAAGTGGGTACTAATAAGCCCAAACCCAACCCCCGGGTACTCGTGGTACCTGCGTACGAGCCCGCCAAAATTTTTCCCGCGCAAATTCATAACTCGGGATTCTGACATGCTAGAAAGCTGAAATTTTAAGGGAATGTTCCCCGTCCTAGTAGGTGCTATTGGGCTCAAACCCAACCCCCGGGCAAGCGTGGTACTCGCGTACGGGCCCGCCAAAATTTTTTCCGGGCAAGTTCATAACTCGGGGATCTGAAATGCTAGAAGACTGTAACATTAAGAGAGTGTTTCTCGCCCTCATTAGTCTCAATGAGATCAAACCCAGCCCTCGATCACCCGTGGTTCCTACGCACGGGTTCACCAAATTTCTTCTCGGGTAAGCTCATAACTCGAGAACCTGCAAAGCTGAAAGACTGTAGTTTTAAGAAGATGTTCCCCGTTCAAGTAAATCTCAACGAGCTGAAACCCAGACATCGAGCATGCATCGTACCCACGTGCGGGCCCGTAAAGATTTTTTTCAGTAAGTTGCTAACTTAGGAGCCAGGAAAACTTGAAAGTTGAGATTTTAAGGGGGTTTTTCCTGCCAGTTCTGGCAGCCAGTCTTAATTTGTTTAGCTTGGAGCATTTGCCGAAAAAACCGATGCCGGTAGCGACAAAAATTGCGGGGAACTCTGCAAAAAACGAATCTTCGCACGGGCAGCCCGTGCGTTGGCCAATTATTGTATTTGCATAAAACGCAAAAATGCATAAAAATCACTCAGAATTTGCCAGAAATGTTCAATCGCTCGAAAACACTTCGAATAGGTGCTTCACCAAACTAATGCTTCCTAAAGCCGTTAGTTATTTCCGAAAACTTTGTCTTTGAATACGGAATTACTGAAGCACCTATTCGAAGCCAGTTACTTAATACAAGCAGCCACCTGAGAATGCCGGTCTTGTATAACACAGCATAAACCGCATCCTGTAAATCGTCCACATCCATGTGCACGATTGCTGTACCATCAGGTGACCGAAGCAATTCGCTTGAAATTTCCTCACCAGTTATTAGCCGGTATATACTCCCATCATCCAGCGCTACCAACAAAAGTTCCATCGATACCGAACATATAGCTATAAAATCACTATTTGCTTACTCGAAAATATCACTTTACTTCTTCCTCTCAGGTCCAAGCAAGACTGTATGCATAGGTGTCAAAACTGAGTAGAGTTCAGAATGACTGCCTTCAAGCAGACCAAAGATCTTAGAATTACAATACTTCCACTGCTGCTAATTCGAAAAGAAGGAACTATTCGAAATGTAGTCGGCGGGCCGACTGAAAAATCATAGAATCACGACAGTTACTTCGGTGAGGGAAGAATTTGAATGAGTGAACACTCGGAAACCAATCCTCAAATACAAAAACTCTACACAGACCAGCAAAATGGCAAGTGATGACTTAATAATCTACGAAACGGAGGAATGCGAGATATCTAATGCTGTCCAAAAACAGTTCAGCCAAAATCTGATTTACAAAATCACTGCTACAGTTCCCCCGAAACTCAGGCTGGAGCGCACCAGGCGGGCCGGTGCGATCATGCGTTTTTACACTTTTCGTGCTGCCGCAAGATGCTGGCCCCCGAAGTTCGGGAAAGTTAATTATGCAGCTATCTGATATCAGTTATAGATGTCCGCTTCAATAATCCGACAAATAGAAGTTTGTTGGTCCGCGAAAAAGGCATTACTAGAAGAGATAAGTTTGAAATATTTTAGTCGCACATGAGAAAAGGAACAATTCCTTAAAATTAAAGCCTTCCAGCTTTTCTTGTTAGAGATTTTCCCGCCAAAATTTTCAAATGCCCGCATGTGGGTCCCGAGCACTTCTAAACAACTAATTTTGGTCGTACATGAATAGGAAATATTACCCTAAAGTTTCAGCTTTCTAGCTTCTCTCATTCGCAAGTTAGTGGTTTTCCCGCCAAAAGTTCCACGTGGCAGCAAGTGAGTCCCGGGCAGTCCTAGGCAGCTGAATTTGAAACCTTTTAGTCATGCATGGGCGGGGAATACTTCCATAAAGTTTCAGCTTTCTAGCTTCTCTCGTTCCCGAGTTAACAATTTTCCCGCCAAAAATTTCACGTGGTCACGCGACCCAGAAGTCCGCGAGGATCGATACCGCAGTCCTGGAGTGGCACTTGGCCGGGGAACACACTGGCAAAATTTCAGCCTCAAAGCTTGCGTGGTTGACGAGTTGAAATATCCGGACAGGCGAGCACACACACTGACAGGGTCTTGCAATATGCGTTTTTGCACATATGCAAATTGCAACCCAGGCTGGAACGCACCAGGCGAGCCGGTGCGATCATGCGTTCTTGCATCAAACTTTAAGGTACTCTATCATATTTCCCTGCCCTTGCCCCACTCCTCCACTCGATGTTTCCGCCCTTCCCCTGCCCCCGCGCTAGACACCGGTGTTCTTGAAGCGGTGATATTGTGCTACATTACACAGCACGATTCAAAGCGGTATTCTGTGGGTACGGTAGGA